GGACCCACGGCTTAAAGTCCCTCCCGGAGGACTTGTTCCCTGAATTTTTCCGCCCTTAAAAATTCGACGACCTCTGCCGGGTATTTGAACCCGCGTACTACGAGTCATGGGTTGGGAACGTTACCTCTAGACTACGGAGGCCGCTTGGGCCTGCAATAACTTACATAGCTATTACTTTAACAGCATTATTTGGATACTGAATTATCTACGTATGTATAGAGAATATTGTAATAGTGTTATTGGAACATATGTGTTCACTTGTCTGAATTTCGCGGATGTTATTGGCAGACATATTCACCGAGATACAAGCGGATAAAGCGTAAACATGTTGCGGCCTTTATATTACTGAAGTCCACCAGACATGCTAATCATGAGCTGAAGGTATCGTAAACTAGACCTCATCTATCTACCTATTGCTCTACAGCCGTCTGTTGAGCCTTGGCTTCTTTCTCAATTTCTTGATCTCATGCACAATCGATAGGTCTCCTTGGAAGGGGGATCAGCCCGTCGCAAGGCCGCTACCTGTACACAGGACATTACAAGCACAGAATAAACACACACAGACATCCATGCCTCAAGTGGGATTCGAACATACGATCCCAGTGTTAGAGAGGGGGAAAGTAGTTCATATCTCAGGCCGCACGGGGCTGGGATCGGCAAAACTAACTAACTCTCATAAAGAAATGAAATGCACAATCTGCACAAAGGGGCAGACTACCAAAAGAAGCAGTTTATAAAGAAGGTGCAGAACATCAGTCGATCTGCTCCCTTGTATAAATCAATACAAATCGCTCTTCAGTGTGAAGAACTGTCTGGTCTATGACAGATACATTCCTCCTTCATGGGTGTCAATGCTGCCATAGATTGAACAGTGTGTTCAAGCTGTATGACTTCGACTTCAAGTTGTGCTTGTTCTTATGACGAATCACCTGTTGATGCTACTCTCTGGAGTATTATAACTCATCCAGAATCCGCGGGAGTACTCTCCCAGCTTTGGTTTGACCAAGGCATGTAACGTCTATCACAAATCTGGTGATACAGCACCTATTGTCTCCATAGGAGCTGTTGGGTTGCAGCAACACAATTACGCTTTTCTGTCATGAAATTCCTAGCTCAAGGCAATAATCAGTTGTGGGAATAATTTTCACCTGAGCAGCCATTCATCAAAAACTCATTAGCTGTGGGAGGAATATTACTGGCGTTATATGGGCCAACATGTTCTACGTGTTCATTACAAAAATATTCGACACATGAAAGCACTTGGCTCTCACTTCATCATCATCAGTTCTGGAGAAGAGTAGGATGCTACTGACACGTTTACCCACCGAGTAGTGGTTGTCATTATCGGTGTTGTCAAATATTACATAGGGCCTCATCCACATGTTGGGCATGTGGGTCGGTTGGTAGTTGAGAGGACGTTGTACGTATAACAGTGAAGCCTCTTTCTATATCAACCCCTGGAAGCGCCAAGCTTAAGTAAAAATTATTTAAAAATTCTGCTCTTACATCACAGAAAACACTTTTCTTGACAATTACAAAGACAATTGATTAATTTTATTAAGGAAATAGAACTTGTCTTCTGTGAGAATCATGAGAAATCCCCAAATAAAGACGAGCTAAATGCACATATTCTCTTTAAAATTAAGGCAGATGATACATACAATAACTACATGGCTTTCAGTGGTTAATTGCAAAGAAAAATGCCATTATTACATTTGCTATAGAATATAATAATGGCATCTAAACTAATAAATGTCAGACATTTTGAATTTCAGCTAAAACTGAGACGGTTTGTAAAGCAGAGAGAAAATGTAACTTATGACCTTCTATACACCGAGTTTTGCTGTATATCAGTATGGCTAAGAACTGAAGCTAACCTTTGTAGCAAGTCTCTGATATGATGACGTATGTGACCCTGCTAGAGACGGGAATTAAATGCCCAGCATAAAGTAGTCTGGACGAATTACAATCCTGCAATTTCTGTGCCTGTGACGGTTTCTGTCGAAATGCCTGTATTTCGAGTAATTTTTCAGATTTCACATTGAAACAAAAACCAATGGAAAGTTGTATAGATACTATAATCAACTGCACGAATCTGTCAATATCCTGCATGCTGTTTCCACAAATTACCAGTCTGAGAAAATACTATTATATTACGAAATCTTTAGCAAAACCATACATCCATAGAAGAAATCCACCTTACTTATCATCTTGTCGAAATGGCAAAGCCGTAATTTCTTTTCCTAAACCAATAACTGAATTCTTTCAGTTGATAATTCGTTAGTCCTCTCTTTTGGTGAGAATGTAACGTCCTGGTGGCAGGGGGGCGTGGAGGTACCCCACCGCTGCCACCACTGTAATGCCCTAGCGGCGTAGGGGGGCATGGAGGTATCCCTCCCGCTGCTGCCGCCGCTGTAATGC